TCTTATACTAGGGAGACTATACGATATTTACATATGTGTGTCTGGTTTATTTCACTTATGAGTATATGTTCAAGTGGCATCCACTTCAATATAAAGGCTTTGAGTTTATCATTCTTTATAGCTGAGTAATACTCCATTGTGTAAAAATTAACAACTGGGACCTGCTCTTACTGAGAAGTTTTTTCATGTTAAAAGAAATTACCAACTAAGTTATAATTTAAAGGAAAGGGTTTTTTTTTTCCACTCTTAAATGGGTGCCTCATGCTACTATTTACAAATATACTTTTATTGGATCAAAGATTTACAGGAGTAAACATAAATAATGGACTTCCAGGTTGGGCTTCCAGGTCTTTAGAGTTTTAGCAACTCCAAAAAGAAACTGGGGTTAAAAGAGAACATAGGATTGAGTTCCCAGCTGTGTGCTAAGCATCATTTTAATGATAATGAGGAATGAGGAGGCCACTTCTTTTAATCTCAACTTTGAATGCGAAGTACTAGTCACTTGGTGAAGATGCTAAAAGGACCTTACTGGAGGATGTAGGAAGACACAGGGAGGACATCTGTGCTAGGAACTGGGTGCATGTGTTGATCTGAATTAGAAGCATCTAACTAAGTCGGCTGAGCACAGCTCCGGGTGTGGCAGACCCCCCAGCTGGCCTAGTGCTCTGTGGGTGTAAAAGGGAAAGGAACGAGGCCTGTTTTGTTCTTTGGAGGAGCTTCAGTCCTCAGCTTCACCTCGGACATCATCCCCAGGCTTCCCAAGTGGCCTCTTCAGCACTTCACGGAAGTCCACACCAGCCCGCCTCCCGCTGCAGATGCGCCTGAGCCAGTGCATGGCGCCCAGCTTTCTGCTGCATCCTGCGGGCCTCCAGCGCACAGCCGCACAGCCGCACTCTGCTCTTGCACATGCGCCTCAGGGCGCAGCCGCTGAAAGCCCGCCACGTAAAGTCGCCGTTATGTTTGCACATCTTGCGTTAAATCTGCTTCTCTAGTAAGCACTGATTGATACAGCATCAGGTGGGATAACTTCAACCCAGTCATCCTTCTCTTCGTTTATGTATTTTTTTTTAAACTTATATTAGTACATATTCGCTGCACACACTGATTACATTCACTGTATGGAATTAGTACATGAACACAACACATTTCATTTATTTTTCCCCTTCTCTCTAACCTTTTTTTTTTTTAGCATCAGCTTCATTTATTTATAACATCTTATAGAGTTATTTATTATATATACAGGTTAAAAACCAGGCAAAAGAATATAAAATTCATAAAGCAATTGTACAGTCAAAGTACACTTTGAGATCTATTGTCCAAGCTGGATTACAATAACTTTCTTTCCTGTTATCTGTCATTCAGTTTATACTTTCTTTATGTACTCAGCTTTTCATATAAGGATTGCTTTTCTTTTTTCTGCTGGATCAGGCTGCCTTAAGGGCGGATCTTCTAATGCAGCTGGAGGTGGGGATCAAACACATGGTATCCTGCCCCTGACTGCATTTGCATGAGCAGGCGCCTAAACATCTGAGTTAATGGGCAGGCCCCCCCTGCTTTTCATATAAGGAAAGCACTTGATATTTAAGCTGTGTGTCTGATTTACTTAAGATTAACATCTCAAGGTGCAGCCGTTTTCCCACCAATGACTGAAGTTTATCTTTTTATATGACAGCACAGTATACCATTGTAGATAAATACTGTGTTTTCTTTATCCACTCCTCTGTTTATAGACATATAGGTTGCCTGTAGGATTTAACAATCATGAATTATTCAGCTATAACCATGGGTCTACATATAACGCTATGTATGATGTATTTAAATCTTTTCAGAAGCTATCTTGGAGGGGAATAGGTCAAATGGAAGTTTCAGAATTTTGAGAATTTCTTATGGCATTTCCATAGTGGTGGTTTCAGTATATACTCCCACCAAACAACAAGAAAAACTCCTTTCGAGATTATGGGTCCACTGAGAAAATGATCGACAATGTCGAGTGTGCCTAAGGAGAGTCACATGGAGAGGAAACATTCTCTCAGGCTTTCACAGAGAGCAAATTGGTCTAGCAATGGCCATGACTCATCCTCATGGCTGACACTGACAAAGGATCTACAAAGTGTGGTACAGGGCTACAAGACAAATCCTGAGGGTACTTGACTGACCTTATCAGATACAAAAGTTACATTCTTGTTATATAGATCTTGCTTTATCTTGGTCTTAATCATCCAGCA